CAACTCTAGTGCAGCTTGTACTGTTTGTGCACCCATTACATTAAGAATCTGTCACGCCGAGTTAATAGAAAAAGCAATCCGCCTGTCAATTTTTTTCCGAGGTGGCATTTACAAACTTGATTCTTCTCGCACTCCACTTTTTTGGGCACATATAATCTAACATTTGTGACGCACAAATGCTTTACCGACATCTGGGAAACTACTAAGCATTCGGATTGTTCCGAAAAGGAACCGGAATATCCCTTGCTTATTACCGTAATTTCAAGGTCTGATCGATAGTTGAATGAGCAGTTGTGAAATCGTAAATCATTAGCTGAAATTACCTTAGCAGTCAGGGTGCCTGGAATATTTCGGATAGTCCTGTCTACGAAACTTTTGTAAATATGTAGGCACCACACTTAGCTTTTAATCCATCCTTATTGAGCAGCGGTTGATGATTCTTAGCAGCGTTGTCTTTCGAGCTAAAGGTTTCCATCGCTAAAAATAATGAAGTGATCAATCGGTGAGCACGAACGTCACCCACAAATGCTTGGTCTCAGTGGAATCTACCAGTGCGACATGGTATTCTTGATGCACCATCGGCCAGCCAGGGTAGAAGCAGTGGCGGACTCCACCTTCAATCGGAAACTCCAAGTGCTCCCACCCATCCCTTCTAACATGCGGACTATTTACGGATATGCTTACTGAGAATAGCTTCCGGTGTTGACGGAACGATGCTGGCCACGAGTGTTGGGATAAGTGGGAGGAGCTCTATGGATTCGAGACAGGTGGAAACAAAGGGGAACAATTTTAACCACCGGTAGGCGCCTTTCGACGCTTCCGGTGTTTTATTTTCTGGCATTTGTCCCCTTGTATACTCCATCTAATGCCACACCCATTCTTCTGGGTCTAGGCCAAGCTTACCAGCGTAACGTGACAGTCAATAGGTAGATGTGGTGTGCACACACAATACCAGTAACTAAAAAAATCAATGTTTAGCTCCGAAGTCCTACTTTACAATGCAAAACACCTCTGAAAGTAAAAAGCCACAACCATTCATTCCCAAGTACTGAAGCCATAATAAACTGGACAGAGTGTTAAACGATAGCATTAGATTATATTGTAACAAAAAATGAAAAGAATCTGCAAGGTGTTAAATACTTTCGGTATTTGGTTTCCATGACACCAAAAGAGTGCGAACGGACTGAGTTGTTGGTAGGTTGCTCAAGGCTAGACGGAAGCAGTCGAGACACCGAGGCTGGCTTCGAACCACGGATCTTCTGACCAGAAAGTTTCAGTCTAGACCACTGAACCATCTTGAGCTCATGTTATTTTATGCTGAAGGTATATTTCACGGTGTTGGAGTGGGAAGGCGAGATCATAGGTGTTGAGACGTGGATTTTGTTAAAAATCTACTGACCGAGTGATGAGTTAGTTTAGACTTTAACTTCAACGATAATTTCGTGAAAAAACTAAGATAACCGATAACGGACACAGTCCGCCAAATAGGTGTCAAGTGGGGAATATCCCAAGCAGATAGGAGAAACGTTGGCCCATACTCGGCCACGATATCAGATGAGCATGCTGTCAGTCGACGCTTTCTTCCACTATGGATCTGAGTCCTTTATCTGTGTAAGGAAATAAAATTTAAACGACGCTACCTCAACTATTGCTGAAGATCTTAAGGCGGCTACCCACAGAGCTCATAAACCGCCATGTTTATATATTTATGCATATACACCATCTTGTGAAACACTGTGCTGTATTTCAGGCACGTGAAAATCATTTGAAGACTGCACGCTCACATACAGCCCGGTGCTTGTGGCAATTTCAAGTCACGATGTTTTCCTGCAAGTGTCAAAAATCACAAAACGTTTTTCAGTTGTTTCGTCCTTGTTGGTAGAAGTCAGCAATGCGAATCCCACGGATCTCTAGACAGTGCTTATTATGATTCAGCCCCAAAGTATTTCTCCTTATTACTGTGTGTAAGCAGTCTGTCATTTTGACGCAATATTTATTCACAAATAAGGAGTGACATTTTGCCCCAGTTATTCGTTGCTGTAATCTATTTATCCAGATGATGCCATTGGTGGATAACCGCTTCCAGTCATTATCACGACAATTGCGTGGAGTGACAAAACCGTTTTACTAATTAGGTCAAACCAGTATCCAGAATTCACTAACTGAATAATGGCTATTGTCATCCGTGACGTGTTGTCTGGTTATCGAGCCCCCTCCCTGAGACAGTCGATCTACGACATCTGAATCACACGTGACAAAACAACCATGATTCAGTCGCCATCAGTGTAGGGGTTTATTGGTAGCCCGAGGCCAAGGGAACGGTGAAATCATTCAGGACAAAAAGAAAGAGCTTTTGTAAGATAACAGGGCCATAGAAATTACTTTTTGTTCACTCCTCTGTTATGTTTATTTCTTATAGCTTCGTTTGGGAGAAAACATCGCTAGGTAAAGTTTAGTTCTACTATTTAATATTTCGGCTTCAATGCTGCGAGTACAGTCCTCGTAGTTGACCAAAGATACCACTTCCTGATGGTTTCCTGTTGTCAATCACCAACAGATTGCTTGAAAGTTTTAACCGAAACCTTTACTAGTCGCACGAACAACTGTTCATCCCACCTGCGATTTCTATTAAGGCTGATTGGGGCCTGTTAGTGATTCTAGTACAAAATATACTGATGGTTTGCTACGATTCATCTAGGATGTCCAACTGTGCGAGCGGATCAAAACCCTATGGAATGGGGAATAGATCTTCGATCTGTCAAAATTTAATTTTGAACAATGGGCCTCCACGATTGTATTTGGTCCAAAATAACTAAATTATCACCTCGAGTCACCTTTAGTTTCCTCATCATTAAGCAAACATCCGCGACGGTTTCAAGCATTACCACTTGTCCAAACTAGTGCACAGCTGAACAATTTGAAGCTTAAAAATGGCAGCAAACGTGTACACCATCCGTTCGAGTCCACTTGTTGTAATTTACCAGCTTCCCTAGTTGGCGCGAGTTTTGTGTTTTGTTTGGCACTCACATTGCTTGGCGTCCAGTCACACACATGTTGCTACCCAGGGTCTCGATGTAAAAGAAAAGTCGCAATTTCCGCGTTTGGTCGTTTAAAGTTGACTTTGAATGAGAAGTAGAATGTAAAATGTACGAAAACTTACTAGACTTAGTCTTTACCAACTAGACTTACATGCCAAGCTTACTACAATGAGTTATTACAATTATAGGACGGCTCATTGGGTATTTTTTGGTGTCAGTGACGACACACACCCAATTGCAAATCAATTCGGTCATTCAGGCGCGCATTCTAACTATGTCAACATGCTCCGGGCGAAATGGCTGCAATAACTCTAGCTTAGCGGAATACACTCATTTTCAAACCAATTTAGTTTTTCTGAGACTCACCTGGAACCCAACTGAACCTCCAGTTTGTGTTTTTTAAGGAGAATTTTCAGCAACCTTATGAGTAGTGTATTAACTCCATTATGACTTGTCATTGGACCTGAAAACGTATAACATGTGAATATCAGAAGAAGGTAGAAAGCTTCCCTTCCATCTCTGAATGACACGATGTTAGTTAGTGACAAATGTTTACTTGCACATAACCACTACAAAAGATGTTTCGTAGATTTTCACAACCATGACTTTTGTTCAACATGATTTCTCCTAGACTAACAAGAACCATCACATTCAGACAAAGATACTGAAACAGAAAATGTTTCTGAAAGATATCTTCCTATAATTTTACCCAAAGTTCCATAATTCTTCGAGATAGGAAGAAGATAACTGAGCAAAACCTTTCCATAGATTACAGCTTTCCCACTTTAATTCGCCTCATGCACGACTCTTAAAGTTTTTTAAACAGTATAAACTATTGCCTCATCGTGTTGCCTACCGGGTCCTTCAAACATTGATGTGACCTCACATTAGATTCTATGGCTATGCTCACACTCATACACTTTCGGTCGGGGACAACTGTTTCTAGCAAGTGAAAGAAACTAAACCAAACCTACTAGCTTTCGGGACCACCTGTGTTGATGAAATAAATTTTTAATTTCGACGAATAGCATCATTAGCATACCAGTTTGGTCTTCACGGGAAATTCATCTGAATCCCAGCTGATCCTTTCGTTTAAGACGCCCTTCAGCTGAATGTGGTCCACTAGCCCGCCTTATATGGAACATAAGGTTGGCATAAACTAGGGGACGGCGCCTATCTGACTAGCTCCAAGAGGGGCGAAACTGGTCATTGGCTGTCGAAGAGTTTTCAGCATCCTCATGAGTAGTGTGTTACGTCTATACGAATTTCTAACTTGATTAAACGACTTGTCAAAATTTATTCTTTAACGCCCGACATAATTCATTTGGACTTCGTTCATTTGATACTTACCGAACTACTAGAATGGTTCTATGATCTGTCATCAAACCTACTCTCAACGTTAATTCAATTTTACAAACTCATCCGCCAGCAGTGAATCCGGCGACAGAGTATGGAATATGGCATTGTGATTTATTCGTATTAGTTAATTTCCAGGGTTGCTGTTGCATGGGTTCTAGCTGGGCTTCTCAGACAGTTTGACAAATATTCCCTTGAACTCTCTTCTCAGTACTTCGTAGGATCTTGGAGTTGCAATTAATTCACAGCGTGGTGTTTTTTTCTTCGATGGATGACCCGTACTTTAAAGTTTCGCATAAAGAAGATGCACCGTACCGGTCGTCAAATATGCACCCAAGCAGCAATGCACTTGGCATAACCCCTTGATTTATGACGCAAATTTTGCAAAACTATTGCGGGACTCGTTGGAAAGTGTGGTGTCAGATGAAGACAGTTTTGATACAAAGCTGTTACGACAAACTGTTTCACGGGAATGGGTTTACAATAGCTGCACGTATCCTTATGTAGCCAAACAAACCATCTGCTCAGAAGGTGAAACATCCTACAGGTCACATGAGCTTTCCATCTGAGAAACCGTGATTCCGGAGCTACTTAACAGAAAAACACATGATGTTCGGTATGAAAGTAAAGGAGAGCAGCTCCGCTGCGACTGCTAGTGTGCTACGGAAACAAGTGACTGGCACAAAGAAAAACTATACGACTGACTGGGAACCCCGTCTAATCCGTTACAGGTGAGTTGGACAAAGCATGATTCGTAAACACGATACAACATGATAAATCAATAGCACATCGTGGGTACGGTGAAGCACCAGCAGGACTGGCGTGGGTGCATCGTCAGATGTCACAAGCAGAGAGACACAAACGCACAAAGTTGGGCGCGCGTGAGAGAGCGCGGTTTACTGCCTCCTGGAGTCCGTAGACTACTAGTTACCTGTACTGCTGATCATTCACTAGTATGATCAAATGTTACAGAACTTAACCACTGTCTAGTGGGTCCAGCTTCCAAACCCCCTCAGAGGTTCATTGGGTATGCACCAGTGGCTATTCTCAATAGGTACTAGAAAGCTACATAGTAATAATAATCGTTAGAAGTGAAAAAGAGCGACGGAATAATCCTATTATTTTCAAATACAGTAGTAATATATTTGTTTGTTACTGTCCAAAACTCGCGTTTTGCGGGAAATATTGTAGTGGGCCTTCTGTTACACACATATCCTTCGTACCAGTTTGCAGGAATTTACTCCCATGGTTCACTGCAGTGATATCCTGATGGTGGCCAAAGGTCTTATATATAAGTCTATGTCCAGCCTCGTTGCTGCTAAATTTAAATAAAGCTTTTACAAGAGGGATCATAGACTGACTAATTTTGAGTCAACTTCTATAGCTTCTGTAGCAATGCAGAAGATACTCAAATTGAATTCCAGATATTTAGCTCTTCAACTCCAGTACAATTAATAGACACGTGGACGTTGGTGCTAGAACAACGAAGGAAACTTAACGAATCCATAAAATAAGTGTGATAACCAAGGTCGGGTTTGTGAGGCAACTGCACAAAGTACCTATGAAAAACTCTTGAGGGCATTTGCCTGAACAATAATTTGGTGACATTGTATGAGCTTCTCAGTCAGAAGACAGGCTAAAAGATACCAAAGACATTGAAGCCAATCCGTAAAAAGGGGAGTGCCGGATCTCCGTGGCAATGCATTAATCCCTCAAACTGGTGGCCCCAGCCATAACACATCCTGCAGTGATGCAATTGATGTTCTTGTTAGCAGATAGCTTATAATCCCAAATTTGCCTCTCAGATGTGGCGTCTCACTGATCTGCTATGTAACTGTTTGTCTTTCCACTAGGACGGATTCGCTATCTTAGTAATCAAGGTTTGTCCTTATAGGGAGGATAGTGCGAGGTGTTTTATGTCCAAAAGGATGGTTGCTAAAATGCTACGCCTAGTCGCTGGTATACATTCTAACATGTAACTTCTACGCGACTATCGTTAGTGCATTAAAAATTTTGTATTACAGCTTTAATAAAGATTCTTAAACAAGCAACTCACTTGGACTGTACTAGTGACGTGCGTAGAAATTGAGAGAAACTTCATCGTATAACACCATAGTGGCATCCAGAAATATGTAGTCGTTACAAAAATTGGAATTAGCTCTACTGGAGTACCCCTCAATTTTCCGCTCCCCCTAAACCACTTTGTCGCAATCGGTTTTAAATGCCGTCTATATTGCCACCGAAATAGTTGAATTACCCACTAGAAGGTTTATCGGTCTCATCCATGGCAAAACACTAACGTCTTTCACCATGGGTTAATTGGTCGGAGTAACAATATTGTGTAAACCTGGCACACTATTAATACCGTTCCTTTAAAAAACTCCAAGAACGGAGCATCACAAATGAAATGTTAAGTTGAGTCTTTCGTCAGAACCATATTCGTGTGCAAATAAAAGTATTTGTCGGAACAACAAAATGTTTGAACATTTTCGATAATCAGTGGACTGAGGTGCCATTGTGTTACTACAGAAAAGCTAGCACATTATAGTCAGAGACCCTCGATCCAAGTACAACAAACACATCTTTCTCAGTTACAGGCGTGGTGGTGTCATTTGCATGATGTCCATAGGACAAATCCGCTATCAAGCTAACAAAAACGGAAAACTTTTACTTTAAAATGAATGGCGAAAATCTTTCATAGAATCAAAGTTTTGAGCTATCTCCTGGCAATTACTAAAACACTAAATGTTGCGAGAACCTTGAATTTACAGGTACAATGATACTGTGTGACACCCCTCGAGTGTTCTGATCACCTCTGGACCACAGGCGAAAACGCATAGTAATTTCGAATGGATCACAGAATACGAATGTGTTTCGGCAGAACTTACCGGTTTGGCTCAAACCAATATTCATGACCGAGGACAAACCCTCCTGTCCTACTGGGAGACTTTTATGTAACGTGTGTCTGATAGGAAACACGATTCGCCAACCCGCACGAACCTTACGGGCTCAGTCACTAAAATCTTACTCGTTAGGACGCAGAACATTTTCTGTGAAACAACTAGTCAGTGAGCTCTAGGAGGTCAGACTCAGCATAACCAACCAACAACTTCTTCGGGGAAATATAGGCGTACAAATTATAACCACCTTGTGATAGTTGTTTGGAAGCCAGGAAGGCGTCAGTCGTTCTATAGCTTTCATGACAGACAACCGATATTAAAAAGATGAAGTTATCCGTTACCCGGGATACTAATTGCTCACAATACATTATTCGAATTGAGGACATCAGTACAGTTTTACACACGTTCAACGATTGCTGGGACCTGTCAAAAATCATTTGAACCAATAAGATTTGTTGATTATCAGATGAGATCACTGTCTGATTAACTGTAGAGGTTTGATTAGCCAACTTCCAGAGTCAGCGACAGGAATGTAGTAATTTCTTGGACACTTACTTCAGGTTTCAACAAGAAGGATTTTTTTCGAACGCACTGTCAATCCATTTGTTTTCGCAAAATTATTGGGCTGGAAAACCTACTTGTTTCTGTACCACTTGGGACGTTTTGTTCCTTGTCATTTGTGGATATGTTTGGTTAATTGTTCTGTGAGTGCTTTTGCACATACACGGTATTGTGTAGGAAAATCTATTTCCCTCCAGGTTAGGTAGTATCGTATTCACTGAGTGAAAAAAAAACAAATTAGGCACAAAATACTGAGCCTCCCTCGCTGCCGGAAGCGGGTGTGATCCGCAGTGAATGTTTACAAACAGTCCTCGACTTATCCGTCTTGCATGCTTACTCAATCACAACCAGGTTGGATTCTTTGGAAGAAAGTCTCCTAGAACGTCACGTTAAGGAAAAGGAGACATCAATCTTATGACAAACTGGGTGACTGAAGTTTTCAAGTGGAGGTTTAAGTGTTTCCGTGTCTGCCAATACGCTTACAGTAAAGACGTTGCTTACCATTCACAAATCCTTTTATTTGTAAGCATGCTGTCTCGTAAGAAAACAACTTCTAAACATGGTTCTGCGCTAGGGTACACTGAACCTCGTTCCCACCTAGACAGCTTGCCAGTATAAATGATTGAAACGTCCGTTCTGTCTGCTTCATAAATTCACACCCGACTAGTCAACTCACTTATTTCTGCCACATTCGATTCTTTGTCCACTTGTTGGACGCAAAGCGGGATGAAGTGGTACTTCTTGTGCCGGGAGCGGAAAATGGTACAATTCAGTTGAATAAATGACTCACAAGGGCATTGTACTTCATAAGGTAGAAGGAACGACACCATGGAGCGTGCGCTCTGGAAAGACAGGGAAATGTGTGAAGGACTTCTATTATCTTCCAGCGGAAATGAAATCAAGTAGAGGGGAGTAATCTATCAGATGGAAATATTTTTGTCTGTACATCATGTTGGCTGACTGAGAGGCACGTGACTCTCGATGAGAAATGGGCAACCCATTATAGTGACTAAATAAATGGGCGCAGTCCAAAAATAAATTTATTATCTATGACTGGATGGTACCGAGTGGAATAGAACTATCAAATTATTCTAGTGTTTTATGATATCCGGAAATAAATCACTCCATACAGTTCAGGACTATAACATTCTCTCAGACCGTTACTGAAAGATAATGAACCAAGTTGGTGAGGCCCAACAGCACGATGGTCAAATTACGCCTTTCACGATATTTCGCACTACCGTTGGCTGAAATATTATCTGCCTGTCAAAAAAGGTTTCTTCTTCTTGGGCGGAGCAATATTTTTCTTATTTGGGAGCGACTCAAAAGGTCTACCAAACTCACGAATCATCTGTCTTTACCTCTGATATAATAATGTTGAAACCATGTCACACTAGCAAGCCAAGTCTATCACTCAAATGCTATTTCGATGCCTTCTTGTTAAAACTTCGGGCTTCAGTTTTGTCACGAAATTAATCCAAGATTTGGTGGAGCCACCCTCTACCATATTGCCACTCACTGTTAATCATAGATCCTGCAGGCATGATTCCTAGTACTTATTATGAAATGGGGACCCCACCCAATATAGAGAAGCCAAAATACCAACATTTCTCGGATGGAAGAACACTTCCACAATAAACAGCACTTTTTCGTGTGCATCGCTCTCTAAATTTAATGAACTGTAGTGAACTACGAGCCTTCCGAAGACGACAGAGAGGGCAAGTTTTTAGTACTTTAAGCCCCCATCCTTTCCCCCAAGGTAATAAGTTGAAACTAGATTAAATAGCTTAGTCTAGACCCGTTTTCAGTCTTGTCGTGTGCTGCAACGCCAAACTCTATAGCACTGTGCGTTGTCGTCAGCAGATAGTTTGGTTGTGTATCTCAAGGACCAGTTCCAGCACAATAATAATCAAACATTTGTCCGCGTTTTTTTGCTACACAATGAAACGAAGATCACCACGCACATCGTTATTACTGAAGACTGAACTTGAGGTGCTCTGATCCCCGTTCCTGCTTGAAACCTGGAACAACTGTTTACCGGTATCTGTTTGGGCTTGATATCCACACCCTAGTGAATACGATCAGTCGAACTTCATACATTTGCAGCCACTGATCAGTATGTCGCATTGCAATTTTTGGGATGCTACTGCTATCAGTTTGCGTTGAAATTATGATCTCCACGTCTGTGCTGATCTAGAAACCTCGATATGATTGTCGTATTTATCCATAATCTGTTCGAAACCAGCAAACAAAGAACACTCATTGGTCTG